GAGTTGAGTTTCGCCCGGGCTCATCGGTGGTTTGGTCGTTATGGGGTTATAGGGTTAATTGCTTTGCCCTTTTTTTCCAGGCGGGGGCGATGTGGATCGGACGACTCTGCTTCGACTTCGACATCGCCAACCGCTCGCGCCGCTCCCGGCGTAGTGACTGTTGTTAAGCCAACTATGTAGCCCTCTGGAGGATAGCTCGCGCTGCGCCCTTGTCAACCCGCTTGAGAGGAAGAGCCACCGAATCAACTCATGGTTGACCCATGGTATGCTATGCAACAATGTAGTCCGTTGATGTAAAGGTTCTTTTGCTACAAGAAGCTGCGGGTGAACCCATGCACCATGAATAACGAATGGCAGCAGTACAATACCAGCACTCGGCCGCTGAGTAAGTAAGAGTGTGCACCAGCAGTCTCCCGCTCTGTCGTATTGAGCAGCACCCCCCCCCTCACTTCATGCAGGACTTTCCTTCTTTCCTTTTCTGATGATGCTGCGCTATTCGGCCCTCCATGCGGCGACCATGGGTAGCGTACTGTACATGTACAGTAAGTTTGGTGTCTCCACGCCCAACATTTCCTTCACCTAATGTTTGGCAGTATCATATGTACGTCCTTTCCCGGTACTTGTACGATAACGATTTCGAAGAACACAAACGAGGCAGCAGCATCACGCACCTTCCCGCACTTCGGGCAGAATTGCTATTCACGCTATACACATGTATCATGGCTGCTGTTTGGGTCTCCTGAATATGGCAACTCAAACGTATTGTGATTTGCAGAGTCGGCAATCTGCTGTGAACGGAAGAGGAGTTTAGCCATCAGCCTCTGTACATGTATCCTTTGCCGTCCCATGGTACGGTCCATGGGACGGTCCATACTTTGTCCAGTAGAGTCATGAATTTATGCATGCATAGACTGCTGCTGCTGCTGTGGTATGCCGAATTCTTGGGAAAAAAATCTCCAGTCCCAGGATTTGCGATGATGCCGCATGTACACCAGACAACAGAGGTGTCCCTTCCTACAGCATGTCGAAGACGCACCCTATATTGTTGTAGTGGTCCTCAATTTTCTCTCATCCACGCTCTATCACGTAGTGCAGAGGTTTGCCGGTAGCAGCCGTTGAGTACTCTCCCACCAACCCAACACTTCAACCCGACAGTGCCTTTCCTTCATCCCCCGAGAGCACTCATGTACTTCTGTTCTACGGAGCTCGCGTGTGCATTTAAACGTGTCCAGGAGAACAGGCTAGAATGCGAGAAGGATGAGAAAGTACTTTGGATGTGTTGCCTTTTGCTGCAGTGCGATGACGACACAATCAATTGCCAATTTCGGAAACGACGCCCCTTTTGGCCATCCACAACGTAAATTGGAGTCTTCACATTTCTTTTCTTGCGTACGTCACGCTGCGCACGCTGCACGACACAATCCATTGCCAATCTTGGAAACGACGCCCCTTTCGGCCATCCACAACGTATTTGGAGTCTTTACATTTCTTTTCTTGCGTACGTCACGCTGCGCACGCTGCACGTATGGGCAGGCCCCTTCTGAAGCGCTTCAGGGCAGCATTGCACCGGTCTTCGAGATCGAGCGTTCCGTCCTGTCCCGGGACAACGATGGCGACAGCAGC